CAATAATGTGCAAAAAAATATTTTGTTTGTTCAGTATTTAACAGTGCAACAAATAGTTAAAATATAATAACGTTCCTTCCTTCCTTCCTTCCTTCCTTCCTTCCTTCCTTCCTTCCTTCCTTCCTTCCTTCCTTCCTTCCTTCCTTCCTTCCTTCCTTCCTTCCTTCCTTCCTTCCTTCCTTCCTTCCTTCCTTCCTTCCTTCCTTCCCATATGAATCACATTTCTACCTCATTTTAAGCTCAATCAGTCACATCCAGAAACTCTTCTTTACTTTCTTTATTTAATATTTCATGTAGATCAGTAGATCAGCTCCTTATCTGGCCATCTTTATTCCAGCCTTTTTAAAAGTAAAACACCTGAAACAGGGTTTCCCTGCTGCTCCTAACCTCAGCAGGATCCCAGTGACCCCGCAGGTGGAGACACGTTACCATGCATTTGAATGATTCTGCATTCCTCCATCTTCCGGGAATCACGGATCAGCTGCGTCTTTCAGTACACCTGCAGCAGGTAACTCCCCTCTCCCTCCTGTCAACAGACTTTTATTTAATATGGCGCTGCGCCTCCTTAAACACCCCTCAGTGTGGGGGAGTTTTCAGGGCGTATCGCCTTCACAGGTTGTGCAACAGCTGGCAGCAGCAGGTTCCTCCTTAAACAACACCTTCTTTGATGAAGGCCAAATAAAGGAGTCACATCACAGCTGAGGTTATCAGAACAATCCTCAATTCAGACCTGCAGGAATGTCTCACACTCCTTACTGAACCACTTTTAGGAGAACAGTTACTCGGAGCGTTTGCAGATCTACAGGAGAAAGGGAAACGTTGCAAAATCGTCTTGGAGCCGTCTCTAAATAACTCAATATTTAATTTAGATAAAGGTGTCAGTGCTTTGCTAAGGTCTGGAAGAAGACCCAAACTATCCTCAGAAGATGAGAGGGAATTAATCCATGGAAGCATCAAGGCTCAAGCTGAACAGGAATTGAAAAATGGAATAAAACTAGATTTACATCCGGACCCAGACAGAAGAAACTGGACCTAAACCTTAAACAGGGTCAAGAGAAAGGTTTCCTGGATTGTTAAAGGAAAGCAGATTCTGAAAAAAAAAAAAAAAAAAAACATTATTCTTACTCAGAACAAAGAAGTTGCTTAGAGAAGGCAACTGCTTACCAACCCGGCTCACTTCCCATTGAAGTGACGCTAATAAACGGTTAGAGAAGCATTTTATACTTCAGTTTGCCACATTATCACATCGTTACATCACAGACGTTTGCAGATAAGGAGGCATCCATGGCTCCAGCTTTATCAAAATATCACACTTCGTTCTTAGCTGAAGGACAAAGCTCTCATTCCATTCCCAAATATTTGCCAAGTACAGAATGAAGATTAAAACTGTATATAGCTGGACCATGTTAAGCATGGTAGTGGCGGTATCATGCTGTGTGTCTGTTTGACTGGTGGCGGCCCTGGTTTATAAGGAAGGATGAATAATCTGGCATTTCTCAATATAAGCTTAAAGTCGTAGGGAAGCAGCTGTTCCATAGCATCGTGAGACCATCCTGACCTCGCGAGCTTTCAAGATTTCAGTCTGGAGACTCTCCGTTGAAGAAAATTTGGAGCAGTTCACCAAACAAACGTCCAATCAGCGTTGGCTTTGAGGCGGGTTGAGGTGTGACGCAACGAGAAGCGCGACAGTTCAGTCTAAAGAACATGGCAGCTTCAGCCGATGAAACTAGCGTTAGCGTGGCTATCGAGCAAGTTTTATCGGAATTACAGAGTATTTCTTCACTGAAAGAAGAGCAAAACACTGCTCTGGAGGCTTTTCTCAGAGGAAAAGATGTTTTTGCTCTTCTCCCGACTGGTTTCACCAATCTACCAATTGGCTCTTCTTCATCGTCGCTCTGTTACGTCATATGCTTCGTTGATCTGATTGGTTTATTTGGCCCGTCTATCACCAACATGGGCCAATCAGCTAACCAGTATTTTCGCCCCTTCCCAAAATTACTCCTACGGAAGGTTTCCAGATGGATATGCGGAGCAAATCCATCTGGCGGAGTCAACACTGGGATGCAATTCAATGGGAAAGGAAATTACTTTTATCTCTTAATTTAACCGTTGCTTATATTAGCTGCGACTTATGAATCAAGATGCTATGACAGAAGCAATTTGATTGACAGGTGAGTGTTGATCTATTATTGGCTGAATTTAGGTGTTCAGGCTGACGTAGAACTAACTGGCCTTAATAAGGTACCGAAAAAAAAACTGATATTAAGACAGGATTTTTTTTTTTTTTAAATAGAAATTTTCTAACTTTTGGGACAAAATCGTCTGATAAAGAGTACATTTATATAAATGTTTAAGCCAGAATGATTTGACATTTAAATTTGATTTGCCTACGACTTGAAGCATGGTAGTGGCAGCATCATGCTGTGTGGCTGTTTGACTCTTTGCGGTCCTGGTTTATAAGGAAGGATGAATAATCTCACATTTCTCAATATAAGCTTAAACCAACTGGGACAGAGTCGGATCTTTCCAACAAGAGCTTTATCTCAAACACACTGAAATGATGAAATAAAGATGGCCGACATTAAACATCCCAAAAGCGCCCATCCTCGATCTGAAAGTCGGGGCCAAGCCAACAATCCAACCAAAGAAGAAATCAAATATGAAATAGGAGGAGGTCAGACGCTGCTTAGAAAAATTAACCAAAACATTAATGACTGGTGTGTGTTTCACATTTGAACTGCCGTGTTAAACTCCTAATAACTTCCAGCTTGTTCATTCTGTTCCTGCCTTTAAAATCGTTGCATAAAGGCTGGTTTTACACTCATCCAATCTGTTTAGTAAAGATTGCTTCATCATTTGGGCAAAGGTTTAAATGAGGCTTTGTCAACAGTTTGATTCTTATTTGTAGCACATAACAGCTTCTAGAGAAGCTGGTTATTTTTTATTCTTAAACTGTTGTTGTTTCCAGGTTAACAATAAGCAAAAGTACTTGGCAGAAAAAGTGAAACTCGATATTTGAAGCAGTTTCACATCCTTAAACAAGCCCCAAAGAAAAGAAAGAATGGTCATCAACTCATGGTAAAAAAACAAGTTTTTAAAGAACATCCAGGATTTTCTGAGGGTTCATATCTGACCCCTTTTCTGAGCTAAATATACGCCCAGCAGAACAGGACTCTGATCTTAGCGTTTGAGTTTCCAGAAACTGCTTTTAAAACCCCGTTCAAGGCGGTTAGAGTCCAGAAGAAGCCTAAACATTTGCAGGATAAACAGCTGATTTCTGAGAATCCACCTGAAGGCGTTCATTCCAGGATTTCCAAACACCGAAACGCTGAAGATTTCCTCTAAACTGATCCCACTGCCTTAAAAAGCATCAATATCTCTGGAAGCAGCAGATTTCACCGGTCATTCATAAAAGACCAACATAAAGAAAAATAAGGAAGATAAGTCAAGGTTTTCACCCAAAAATACAAAGAGGTTAAAAAATATATATTTTTTCCTCTTTTACTCTGATACCTCTGAATAAAATCCACAAACTCCTCCAAAAGTCAGCTTATCCGTAATTAAAGTCAACCTTGAATCTGAGTCTAAATGTTTCTGGATCTACAGAGAACATTAGAGAACAACCAACAGAAGGAAGTTCTGGTTAGATCAGCTCAGACCATCTACCAGCACTGTGATCAATCCGTCTTCTAAGCATAGAGAGAGGATGGAGCACCTGCTCAGGTGAGACTGTCTGCTACGTCCTCTGCAAATCTGCTCAGAGGGGCGAGAGTCCTAAATGAGCTGCAGGAAAGTAAGAGGAAGTACTCCGCTTAGAAGAGACTAGAATTAACTTTCTGACCAACATTTGGAATATCTGGGTGGCAGAAAGCAAACAAGACCACTCCATTAAAAAAGTAAAATGCAACTAAATATGATTCAGTCAATGCCATCCTCATGCGAAAACATGGTGGTGGCAGCATCATGCTGTGGTGTATCTCTGCTTTTTTCTGTATCTCTGCTGAGGCCAACTGGGGTTCAAGGAGACAGAAGCAGATGGCCGCTCACACTGAGCCTGGTTCTGCTGGAGGTTTCTTCCTGTTCAAAGGGAGTTTTTCCTCTCCACTGTCGCTACAAGCATGCTTAGCGTGAGGATTGCATTCAAGTTGATGAGTCGATGGAATCAGCTGGTTTTCCTTAGATAGAAAACTTTGAATCAATTTGACTGGATGATCTGGTAAATTGGAAAATGCCTTGAGATGATGTGTTGTGAATTGGCGCTATAGAAATAAACTGAATAAATCTGCTAGAGGCTGCAGAAAAACACAGACTGTGGTGGAGGTTGATCCTTCCAGCAGCAAAACCAGCCTGAACATCCAGTCAGAAACAAAACTAATCTACTAAAACCTTTCAAAGCTTCATAACTATGGTTCTCTGGGCTCAAACAAACTACCGTAAAAAAAAAAAAAAAAAAAATCCCAATAAAAACAGATTTCAGTTCATCAGGTTTTTTCTTTTTTTTTTTTTTTTAACGGGACCCATAAGTTTTACTGTCATTTGTATAAAACCTGATGCTCAGAAAAGGCTGAAAATTTCAGAGCTGATAAGGAGGAAAACTAATTTAACATTTCAGGGTCAAATAATGACCCTAACATAACTGATCTATTTTAATCACCAAAATCACTTCAGAATCGTATAAAGATTGAGGAAATAAAAGGTTGACAGGGATTCAGTTTAGGGCAGGAATCCATGTTTGTTTCCACTAATCCATGGAAGCAGGTAGAAGGAAAACATTCAAAACTAGAAAATAAAAATCATTCTGAAGAGAAAACTGAAAAGTTAAAGAAAAAACAAACAAATAAATCTCTAAACAAAGAAAAACACTGGACGTTTTTTTTTTTTTTTTTTTGTTTTTTTTTTTGCTTGAAATGAAGTTAAAATATTTTAAAAAGCCTAAAACTGGATGAATGAGCAGCATCTTCAGGCTCAAACTAATCCAAAGAAAGTTTTTAAACACTTACATTCTCACTGGAGCGGCGGCTGATCCCCCCGCAGGGTCATTCCTCCTTTTCTGCAACTCTCAGGAAAAAATAAAAATGGTTTTTATTCACAATCAAAATTCCCAAAGACTCCAAACCTGCTAAATCCCAAACGCGTCTCCGCTGAGGCGCAACAAGTCTCCAAAGTTAGAGGAGAGAGGGCGGGGAGAGGAGGAGGAGGAGGTTGGTGCGTCTTTCTGTCGGTCTGCGTTCGTTTCTTTGACCCAGACTCAGCAGCGCGGGCGGGGTCTTACATTAAATTTAGTTTTTTTTTCTCAAAAATAACAGTTTTAGGTGACGAAATAAGAACTGAAAATGGAATAAAATCGTTAAATATTCACCTGGAGAGGAAGGAAGCTCCAGCCTTTAATATAAATATAACAGCTCTATGTTCACCAATCAAACAGCTGATTTGGGTCTGTTTTATTTTTTATTGTCTCGGATCAGCTTGTATCTAAATATTATCATTAGTGATGCAGTGATACCGATACCAGTATCAGACAGGGCCCCGATCCAACACTAAAATCGCAGTATCGGTATTGGCGAGTACCAACAAATATGACACTGATACCATTTTGAGAGCCAAAAGTTAATCCAACTATTGTCACCCATTCCAGGTAGGCAATAAAAAGTTCTACTGCATTCACTTTTAGTCTTTTTCCTGCTTCACAAAGGTAGGCAGCAGCTTGACAAAGACATGTCGGCAATTATTTTACATCCAAGTAGTATGCAGTTCTTATGGAGGATAAAAAGTGCCAAAATTAAATAAATAAATACAGCATTAAATAAATAATTAAATGTGTCAATAATTAATTAAATGTGGAATTAAATAAGTAAATGTGTCATTCATTAATTAAAACCACGTCACTAATATAAAGTGCCACAATTAAATAAATAAATACAGCGATAAACAATTAATTAAATGTGTAATTCATTAAATAAATAAGGAATTAAATATATAAATGTGTCATTAATTTAATAAAATACGTCTCCCATCAAAGTTAGTCTGATACAGTAGGTGGTGACTCGATTCGCGTTAACCCCGCCCCCTAACTTTGATGGGTGATTTTGACAGATTCTTTTAAGGGTTTCGATGCACTGCGACAAAGGACCATGAAATAATTAAATGCACACTCAAATAATTATATATATTTTTTTAATAAAAGGAAGACGTATTTTATTAAATTAATGACACATTTATATATTTAATTCCTTATTTATTTAATGAATTACACATTTAATTTATTGTTAATTGTTTATCGCTGTATTTATTTATTTAATTGTGGCACTTTATATTAGTGACGTGGTTTTAATTAATGAATGACACATTTATTTATTTAATTCCATATTTAATTAATTATTGACACATTTAATTATTTATTTAATGCTGTATTTATTTATTTAATTTTGGCACTTTTTATCCTCCATAAGTTCTTCATATACACACACATCAATTTCAAACAGATGGTATCGGTATTGGCCAATACAGCCAGGTATCAGGTATCGGTTTGGAGGCCAAAAAATGGAATCGGCGCAAAACTAATTATCATTAATATTAATATTATACAAATATTTTTTATAAAACATCAGAAAATTAATTAAGAAATGTGTTTAGATTACCAGATATATCTCTTTATATTTTGAGGTAATAAAAAAGAAGAAAAAAAACAAGGATGTCATTATCTTCCCCAGTAGATTATAGATCGCTATTTCATTTATTACTCATATGAAAACAAACAAACAAACAAAAAAAAAACATATGAAACCCATGTTTGTAAATTATCAACATAAACAGATTAAAATTGGAGGCAACTGATTTTCACTCAGTTTTTCGACACCAACCCAGGAGTGTTGGTCAGTTCTGCTGTTTCACGCTGCAGCAGCCTGCAGTTGGAGCCCTGAGTAGTTAGTCCAACATATGGGTTTTTTATTGGTGTGAGTATCCCATATAAACCCATCTGAAGTTCATGCAGTTGCATTCAATGCACATGGGAAATCAAAGGTGATGCGCCTCCAAACATGAAATTAAATAACTGAAGCTACAGGGTGTTGGTATTTCCACTTATATCATACGATTAAGGTTAATATTAAATCAAGCTCTGACGTGTTGGTGCAGGATCATACACATTAAAAAAGATAATAAAACATCAACTTTGAAAAATACAAGGGGAGTGAAGGAAGCCAGCTATGTTAAAAAAGAAAAAAAACAACCTTAAACAGAGGGGGTGGACTCAGATTTCAGCTTTCAAAAACCTACAATGCAGCGAGAGAGTTGTTCCCTTTCCGCTATCATCCCCACCCCTTTACAGAGGAACAGAAGACCTCGCCTGTTCAGCCAGGCCAACAATTCCCTCTAACTACCCTCCTTTCAGAGACACAGACAGGTATGGGGCATTGCAGGCTAACAAAGAAGCCAAATTACCCCTATTCCAAATGGGTGGACCCGTTGGGCTGTTGCAATTTGCGTGTTTTCTAAACAAAACAAGGCTTTGTTGGGCTACTGTATAAAGCCTCAAACTCAATGCTATTTCTGACATTTTGAATACAAAAAGTTTCCTGGATGGGTAACGGAACATCCTCAAACCTGGAAACAAAGTCCAGTGGTTTGTTTTTAACTTTTTTTGGAATGACTACGACCTGGATGACTGAGGATCTTTACCAGCATGCCGTTTAAATGTGTTTTTCTTTATCTCTATAGTGGTGTTTTAGGAAAAATCATTTATTCCTATTTTTCCACTGTTAAAGTTAGTTCCAGTAGACTAACTTAAACAGTGAGGGGCTGCCATGACTGTTTTTAAGTGATAATTTGAACTCTTTTGGAGTAAGGTTACCCTTGTTTCCCAAACTGGACACCATATGTGCATCACATGTTGCTCTAGTAGTTCATCTCCACATTCTCTTCATGATGCATCTTCATCTTATTCCATCTTTGAACCAAGCTGTTTTCCCAAGATGAGGTTAGTCTAACATGTAACACACCCCACCTGCGACACATTTTCATTTAGTGACGTTTCTCCTCACCACACGCTGTAAATGTGAATCTTATGTAATTGATTCAATAAGTCTAGTTTTGCCTATTAACACCAGCCCCAGTGATTCAGAACCTCAGGGTGCTTTTTTTCTTATCAATAAATAATTGAACCAAAATAGAGAAGTGAAATGGTTAATTAAAAGTATTTAAAACCTAAAACCAACCTGTTTACCTGCGCGCAGAACTGCGCAGTCTGAGGTCAGCTGAGCTGATGCGTCTCATTTGCCTTAAAAACGTCCCCCTCTCTGATCTTCCTGCCTGATAACGGCTTCAGGATGCTGCACAGATTTGCATCATTGTGAAAGGCCCCTCAGAGGAACCTGCTGGTGCAGCAGAATCGCCGTGTGTGGAAGGGAAGACACCTCTGACACCACAGAGATAAAAACTGGGATAAATCATTCAGCAAGCGGAAATAAATAAATCACACAAAGGAAAAACTCAGCTCAGCTCCAATTGAAAAATACCTTTACGTAAATATTTAAAGGCTGTTGACACATTGGCTGCTTATTTGTCCCGTATTTTTAGATTTTTGTCTTAACAGAATTCTCATATCTTTAATTAAGAAATAAAGCTAGGGCTAAGCTATTCCAGTAATACTGTAGCAGTAAAGCAGTAAAGCATCCAATCCTGTATTACATGTTTTTGTTAAGATACTAACAATAAATGAATGGGATAGCATGGGCGTTTATAGGATTTGATGTCACAAAATAGTCAAAATATTTATAAGGAAATTGATAGTTTAAAGTGTAATATACAGCTGAGTATCACCTGCATAAGATGGGAAATGTACAGCGCATTTTTATTGTGAAAAAAATATCTTAGAAATTATTTAAAATAAAATAAAAACTGAAGGGAGCCTTCGACTGAACCCTGAGGTATCCCGTTGAGGTTCAATAAACGTTATATTATATAGATTTACTTGAGATATTTCAAATTTTTATTTAGATTATGAATATATTTTTCCTTTATTTTGATCTGGTCCTTGTTGGACTTGACTGTGAAATGTAGCACATTAAACATTTGACTTGGAAAACTCGGGAAAACATCAAAACATTGAAATAAGTGTCTCTAGTCTGTCTGATTTGTTCAGAAAAAAGTTAAGATTATTTCACATAAATCCAGATTTTGATAAAGCTGGTTTAGAAATGTTTTAGAAATCGTACTGTAACGAAAGGGGGACTAGAATTCAACCCTGAGGTATGCCACCAAAAAATTTGAGCTTTTAAGGAGGTAAAGCTTTTTAAAGGAACATTTTTTAAAAGCTGTACTAAAATAATTTAATAAAATATTTTTTAAAGCTTTTATTTAGACTTTTTATATATTTTTTTCTTAATTCGTATCTTGTCCTTGCACAACTCTTTAGTGAAATATAGTAACTCCAGCATCACACTGAAATACTGGGGGAGTATCTAAATCATGTAACCAAATTTGTCCAGACTGTGATGCACTTTAATAAATGTGACATATTTCTCATAAATCAAGATTTTGATAAATCAGGTGAAATGTTTTGGAATCCAAAACAAAACGGGGGCCTAAAACGGATCCTTGAGCCACACCTATCTAAGCTTTTGAGGGGGTATGCGATATATTTGCAGATTTTCCCAAAGTTTGCTTTTTATGAGTCATTAGGTAAATTAGCTATCCTGTCTGTGATGGTGAATAACAGCATTCCCGCACCATGATACTGCCACCACAAGATGAAGAAGTCTGATTGGATGGGGTTCTTTTTACCTTACCTTTTGCTCTGTATGTGACTAACTCTCAAAGAGCAAAGGCTAAAGGATAAGTATATGAACCAGAGTGGTGCTGATTTCATCATTCTGCTTCATTCTATCTCTATTCTCCCACTCTGCTAGCCTCGTGAGACCATCCTGATCTCGCGAGCTTTCAAGGTTTCACTCGCAGATCAGTCTGGAGACTCTCCGTTGAAGAAAATTTGGAGCCGTTCACCAAACGAACGTCCAATCAGCGTTGGCTTTGAGGCGGGTTGAGGTGTGACGCAACGAGAAGCGTGACAGTTCAGTCTAAAGAACATGGCGGCTTCAGCCGATGAAACTAGTGTTAGCGTGGCTATCGAGCAAGTTTTATCGGAATTACAGAG